TAGAGACACACACTATGTTTTCTGTAGGCATCATAATCTATGAACCATGGTGGCTCATCCTGCCTCAGAAAGATGGAAGGGGATGAATTGCCTGCTGTGCGAGCTTAGACAGCCTGAGTCTGAGTCTCTGGGACCTGTGGTGGGAGGAGAGAGCCAGCTCCTGAAGGCTGTCCTCTGACACCTGCGTGTCTCCCCATAATAAAGTGAATAAAATTTTAAAAGTGTAAAAGTAGAAATCTTAGTATTTGTTTTATGTATTGTTGTCTATTTCTGACTATTTGTCATTAAACATTTATGATTCTGCCTGTTTGTCTGCATTAGAAAGAATGCATATTTTGCAGGCGCACACACACTATGTGGGGTGGATCATCCAAGGTTCTTGCACGCATGTGTTCACTCCATCTTTGTGTTCAAACCTCTCACTCTAGGTGAAGAAACAGGGGTCCAGCATGACTAAGGGGCTTGCCCAGTGTCACACAGATGGATGGGGACATTGATACCGTGAGATCCTAGACCAAGGTTCTGTGCAGAGTGTTCAGATCTATCACAAACGGGAAGGAGAACAGGGAAATCCTTGCTTCCTCCTCTTCCAATCAATGAGTAAGCAACACGAAGGTCAATCTCAAATTAGCTACATAACCCCAAGTGTTAAGTTTTTAAGACCGACCTGGTTCAGTATTGATTCCTTCTATGAAAGTCATATTTATGCCGAAATTGCCCGAGAATGTCTGAGCACCCATGAAGGCTTTGTTGAAATAATTACATGGCTTTATTTTTGTAGAGAAGTAACCAAAATACGTAAGTTCATTGTCTAAGTTAAACAATGAAAACATCTCTTGTTTCTCGTGATGGCCTTGTTCTTAATACAACATGGCAAACTAATACCCCCTAAATATCCATGATTAACCTGAATTGAAAAGGGCTCTCCTCCCAATCTCCCTGTGACTCCATGAAGCTGCTTCAACTGACAGTGGTCTTATATTTGTTGTTGTTGTTGTTGTTGTTCAGAGTTCCAGTGCAAGAAAACATGGGCAATTCATTGTTGCTGAGTGGTGTCCCTGTAAGAAACGCATCCCATGCATTTCAAGCCCATGCAGAAGTGCCGATGTGGAGTTCTGGACTGCATTCAAATCTCAGTTAAGCACAGGTGGGCTGTCATTAACGGTTTATGTTTACGTGTACATATGACTGTTTGCCTGGGCGACTGTGTTTGTTCTCACACTGGTGTACATAGACTTACGTGTGGGTGTGGGGTTTCCCACCAGGTTTGGGACAAACTGTCTGGATCTGCTCTTCATTCCCCCCTTAGGGTTCTGCCACTGCGGGGAACCCCCAAACAATGGGGAAGCAAAGGGGACTTCTGAGCACATTTGAGCCAGGCTATCACTCTCAGTGAGCTTTTGCTGAGTACCACAGAGGAACATAATCTAGAAAATGGCAATACATAAAATGTAAGGCCTGTCTGTCACCAGGTCCTCCCTCCATCCCTCTGTCCCTCTCTCCTCCCTCCCTTCCTTCCTTCTTCCCTTCTTTACTTCCTTTCTCCCTTCCTCTCTCCCTCTCTTCCTCCCCTTCCTCCCCCTTCCTTCTGTATCAGTCTTCTTCTGTATCTGTCCATATTTCTACAGCCACTTGCCAGGGTCCCCAACTCCTTAGCTATGGCCTTATCGTAGCATGGGGGTGTAAGATGACACCCCACTATCTCCCAGCAGAGCAATTTCTACCCCCCGTCCCACATGAGTCAAGGTCTTTGTGAGCAAAGCCAATGACATCAGAAATATTTACTTGTGCCACGCTGTGCCGGCCACCAGGCTTGTCCTAGTTAATCCTCCCGTGACTTCCTGCCAAAGATGCTGAGCTGTCTCCACTTTCCAGGTGGGGACACCAGGGTCTGACACACATGCATTTCCCAGGGGACTTGCAGCAAGTGGTGGCAGGGTTGGACTGAGAACACAGCCCGAGTCCAAGTCCACATTCTTAATGGCGATGTTGGGAAGTCTCTTCGCTAGAATGCGTCCCTGAACCTGCCCTCCATTAGATTTCTTTCTGTTTCAGAATAGTCTGCTCCTCTCCAAGAACAGACGTGGTGGATGACCTCATTCCTCAGGGAACACACAGGTTGTGTGTGATGGGCAGGAAGGAGGCATTTGAGATCTAGGGGGCACTTGAGGTGGATGGAGAGAAGAGGCCTCCTTTTCCTCCAGCCTGGAGGCTCAGGGCTGGAGCAGCTGTGCCATCATCGCAGGCCGTCTCTTGGCCCTGTCCCCTTGGAGCAGACAGAGCTCTTTCATCCTGTCTGACTTAGTGGTTTATTTTAGGCACAGCCTGACCAGGTGCTCTGGGTCAATAGGCTTAGCTTTAAATAACTGGGTTCTTCTCCATGAGTATCTCCTTTTGGCAGGAAGGGACACAATGACAGAAAGAGTCCCACAGGCTAGGATGGCGAGGGAAGGAGACAGAAGGCAATACAGGAGAGAATACAAACGGTCTCTGTCACTCTGGATGTCCTCAGACAGGTGCATGACTTCTCCACTCGGTGAACCAGTTTCCCCACCTTCAAAGCACATCTTTGGAGCTGGCCATCTCAAACGCCCCCTTGCGAACTTACCTCTGGCTTCTGTGCTCCGCTGTGCATTTACAGGCAAGTCACCTACCCAAAGGCGTCTGCTTTCGGAGTGCGGAGTTACCTCCACGGAGCTCAGTCACCAGAGGCTGCGCAGCAGAGGGCAAGCCGCTCTTGGGGTCCAGAGGCCTGGGTTCAGCTCTTGCTTTTGGTGCAAGCCTGGCGATCTTGTGTGTGAACCAGTTTTAAAAGAGTCCGATGGAATTTTAGAGGGCGTTATGTGAGTTACACAGAGTGAGAGCCCTTTAAACTCTCCAAATGAAATATGTCTGACAGTTCCTCAAAAAGTTAAACATAAAATGACCACACTATCCAGAAATCCTGCCTCTGGTTCTATACCTCAAAAGAATGGAAAGCAAGGACACAGAGAGGTTTTTATAATTGTGCTGATAGTGTTGCTATTCACAGGAACCCAAAATGGAAGCCACCCGAGTGTGCATTTGATGGGTGAGTTGAGTAAACAAACGTTGTATAGACACACAATAGAATACTACTCAACCGTAAAGAGGGCTCTATAGACACACAATAGAATACTACTCAACCGTAAAGAGGAGTGAAATCCTGACACGTGCTGTAACATGGCTAAACCTTGCACACAATGTGTTCAGGCAGACACGGAAGGGCCAGAGCTATGCATTCCACACGTATGAGACACCCAGAGTGGTGAGATACGTAGGGGTAGAAAACAGACGATGCTTCCAGAAATGGAGGAGAGGAAGTTAGAGTTTGATAGGTCAGGAATTTCTACTTGGTTTGGTGGAAAAGGTTTGGATATTGGAAGTCACAGTGGTTGGACATCATTGGGGATTTACTTAGTAGTAAGTTTTTTTTGTTTTTTGTTTTTTTTAATGGTTAAAATGAGGGCTGGGGAGACAGCTCAGTCCATAAAAGGCTTGCTGTGTGAACATGGAGCCCTGAGCTTGGATCTCTAGATGTAGTGAGAGACCCTGTCTCAAACAATAAGGTGAATAGAGATTGAGGGGACAAAAAAAAATTACCCGACATCAACCAGTGGTACACACACACACACACACACACACACACACACATGCATGCATGCACGCATACATGCACGCATACACGTGCACTTGCATAAACAGTCACATACATACCCACACACACAAATTTAAAAATGGTTAAAACAGCAGTTTTACATTTTATATATCTTACTATGTTTTAAAAAAATAAATGCACAGTTTTCAAAATTTAGTTCAAAATGTTAGACATATTTTGGCAAAACCTGGGAATGAGAAAACCTGGTTCTTTGCCTGAACTTGGGTGAGACATCTGGGGGGTAACGCCTCTCTCTGTTAAAACAGCACCACAGGCTCCCCCCAACACACACACACTCTTACCATGCCTCTCAGAAAGCCAGGTCAAATGCACACACAGTCGGAGCCAAGTGGGTCAAGGTGGAAACAGGATCTCCAAGGCCACCTACCTGACCGCTTGCATGGAGAATTCCAGTGCTGCCACTTAGTTTATCCGTGGGGCTACTTGGACCTCTTCCCTGGACCCTGTGTGGATTCTTATTTGAGAATTAAGACAAAAGGAGACTTTCATCACATCAACCTTCCACATCAGTCAGCCGTGCCACAGCTCTGCCCCAGAGCTCAGCAGGTGCTCGACTTCCATTTGGTAACTGCTGGGGTTCTCTCCTCACTTATGACCTATTGACCAGTTTTCAGAAGTGGGAAAGCTGTAGTGATGGGGACTGGGGTGGGGATAAAGAACGTACAGAACAGGCATTATCGCCCACGACTCTTTAAAAGCTCACAATGTATCAGGTGCTGTCGAAAATTTGGAGAGTGCCGGGATGGGGTGGACTGAGCTGGCTTCTCCGTTACAGAAGTGAATAAAGGTTTGGGGGCAGCATGTAGATTTGAGATTTGGGGTGGAGAGTGTGGAGAGTATGGAGAGTACCAGATGTCTTCAAAGATCTTAGCCCAGATGTTGGCCAGAATATCCACATTCTCTCTCATTCGTGCAGAGAAACTGAGTCCAAAAGAAATACCAAGCAATGGCTTTGGATGACCCAGCCCGGAGAAACCCAGCGTCCTTGCCCCGTGCATGGCGGATTCTTGGCACATGTATGACATATGCCTCTCTGAGACCATAGACTCAAAGCCCATGGGTGGCAAGGACCCCTCTCCTCTCTCGGTCAGAGAAGCAAGATCGAGACGGTCTGGTCAGGGTCTCCATCTCTGTTTCTGAGCTTGTGGGGCTAAGGACCTCCGGGCTGGGGCTAGAGTGGCGTTCACCACCCGGGGTGTTGCGGGGGGGCGGAGAGAGCGGCCGCCTAGCCCAGCCCCGCGGATGACAGGAGCCCGGGAGCCGAGGAGGGAGGAGCCGCCGCCGTGCGCTGGGTTGAGGAGCAGAGAGAGCGGGGCGCCGAGTGCGGGCGGCTGGGAGCGCGCTGAGTGGGGGAGAGGCGCTGCCGCACGGCCGGCCACAGGACCACCTCCCCGGAGAATAGGGCCTCTTTATGGCATGTGGCTGGTAACTTTCCTCCTGCTCCTGGACTCTTTACACAAAGGTGAGACCCGCTTTGCCGGTGGCTGGGCGGTGGAGGCGGTGGGGCCGGGATGCGCGCGGCTGGAGGCGAGGTGCGGTGACCAGTGGGCTCCAGGTGTCTGGGTGCAGGACCCACTCCGGTGTATGGCATTGGGTGGGCACGAGGGGTGGGGCGACTCAACGAGAAGGGTAGGGTGAGAGTCAGCCTGGGACCCCTTGCCAGCACCCCTGCGCCTGCCGTTTAGGGGCGCGCCCGTGGGGGGCGGTGGCCAAGGAACCCCTGGTTTCCCCATCCTAGCCCGGCCGCAGTTCTGCCCTGACCCCCTCCCCCAGCCCCTTGCCCACTCCCGCGGCTTGCTGGAGCTGGGACCCCGGGGTGCCCTGCTAGCCAGGTGGTCCTCGGACCAAGACTTCATCCGCGAGCCCTCGGTAATTGGGTTCTCGGACCTAGGAAAGCTCACTCCTGCTGTAGCTTCGTGCACCCCTCAACCGCCCTCGACCCCCGCCCTGGCGCAAATGCCGGCGCACCGCATGGCGCTTATCTGCGCCTGGCTGGGTGCAGGGCTGGAAGAGCTGGGGGTCCCGAGAGGCGGGGGGTTCAATCGGACAGCAAGTTTGTTCTTCAGACCCAAGGGTCTCCCTCACCTGTACCCCACCCCTGTGCCCCAGGCGCTAGCCTCGGCTTCTATTAGTCTCCCTAGCCACCTTAAGCAGCCTGCCCTAAGGTGCGATACTCTCCGTTCAGGCGCTTGGGCTGCTGGACCTGGGGACAAGTGTTCAGGCTGGGGGGGCGTGTCCCTTTCCCGGGAGAGAAAAGGTTATTAGGGGTGGATCCAGGTGTCCGGCACGTCCAGACCAGCTCCTGGGGCGCAGTACACCTGATCTAAGAGGTAGCCTGGACTGAGGGGTAGGAGGCAGGCATTCCCGATCGTAACCAACCTGGGCACTCAATCGGAACTTGGCCAGCGCGGGCAGTTGAGCTTCTGGACTGTGGCAGAGGACGTGCCCCCGGGCGCGCAGATGGCGGGAGGGAGAGGAGGCGGCCGAACTCCGCGCCCTTGCGCTGTAGAGCACAGTCACTCCTCGGCTTTACCTGCTCAACCTTCTAACTTTTCTCCTTTCGCGCCCGGAGGGCAGCTTCTCCTTCTACCTCCTTTGCCTGGGTTGGCCTGGCCCAACAATAATTCTTGCCCCTTAGGCGATGGAGAAGAGCAGTCAAGAGCCTGGGGAGGGGTCCAGTCCTCGGCCGAAGCCGAAGCCGAGTTTGCAATCTGCCAGAGCCCAAAGTAATACCCAGTAGGTTGGGGGAGGAGGCTAACCCTTATTTGTGGATATGGCCGGGTCAGAGCCAATCTGATGGCCTAGTCTGCTGGGATTTTGCTCAGAAGATCCCAGTGCTGGGAAATGGGTGGTCTTAGAAGGTAAGCAAAGAAATGGACTTTCTCAGGCCCAGTGAGGGCCACTGGGTAACACAGTAAGACTGGTCTGGGTGGCTTAACTCCTTGCCCCATGAACTGACCCATCATTCCCACCTTAGGCAACAAGCTTGCCTCCTGCCCCCCTACACACTCCAGTTTCTTTGCTGGGGCTCTTCCTGCTTCCCTCCACCCGGGCAGGCTGGTTTGCCTCACAGCTTTAATTACGTTAATATTAAATATACATAAGGTGAGGAGCGGCTTTCTTTCTCCATAGCTCTCACTCCAACCCCCATCCCTTTTCCATTTTGTCAGGCAAGAAACACAGACTAGAGCTGCGGCCAAGCTCAGCTGCTTTGTCCCCAACCTTACCCCAGGAATAGTCCATTTCTGAGCAAAGGAGACCCCTTCACAAATACCTGCAGGACACCACCCTCCCCCATCCAGAAGCTCTACATTAATAAATGAAGCCCAAGTTATTTGATAGGGAAGGAGCAGATGGGGGTGGGAGTGGAGAAAGGCCCAGAAGGCCACAGGGCAACAGCTGGAGGGGCAGAACCCTCTCCTACTCTAGTAAGAAGTTGCCACTAGTAGGTCTTATGGGTAGATAGGAGTTAGCAGGTATGGCGGCCCTGGGTGGCCTTTGGGTTTGCGGATCCCTGGCTCCCCTGCCATTCAGAGTGCCAGCATCTGTGTTGGGCGCCAGGCAGCCTTGCCAGACAGGCCTATCTTTTCCTTGGTGCCTTAATTGGGTCTTAGGTGCCAGGCTGATCCCTAGGGGCCTGTTCTGCTTGGGGTGGCATGGTAGGTGGGTGGTGGAGGCGGCTCGGGGAAGATGTAATGTGGGGAAAAGCAAGCAAGATGGGGCGTGGTTTATTTCTCTCCCGTTGCCAGTCACCCCCGCGGCACCAAGGAAAATGTAAATGCGAATGTTCCAGCCTGTTACAGAAAACAATATCCTCTTGCAATAATTTGTACGTCCATCTGTGAGGAGCGGGAGGCGGCAGGCGGAGAGAAGAAAACGGGGAGATGGAGCGTCCTCTGGATGGAATTAAGCAGTTATTGAATGTTTTAAGCTTCTGTTATTTCCATTCCTCTCAAAATATCCTTTTTTTTATCTTATAAAGCCTGAGCTCAGCCCGTTTCCCCAGAACTAAACGGGGAAGGTGTTTTAATAATCAGTTATCGAGTCTCCAATAACTGCCTTATTATTGCCAAAACAAATCCAGGTCTGGGCAGCCAGATGAACCCCAGCGAGGTTCTCTCTGTTGTTACATCCAGCATGCCAGCATCTGTGTTGCCCAAATTTGCATTTTTACTGTGTAAAAGAACAAGCTTCCTCGGCACTAAAATTCCTGTTTTCTAAAAGCCAAAATAATGGGTTGGCATTGATTTTTTTTTCATTTCCCACCCCAACCTCTCGGATGGAGACTCAGGGTTCCTCTCTCTGGAGAAGACCAAATTAAAAGCCTTTGTCAGGCCATTAAGAAAATCTCTAGCATTCGGTTCAGCATCTAATTAAAAGGGGGTGTTACTGGGGGGCATGTTTTTAAAATCTCAAAATGGCAAGTACAACTTAGGGGAAGTAGGCGAAGGACCAGGAATGTCTGGGAGGGGTTGGGTGGTCAGAGGGACCCTGGCTGCTGGGATAGCATGAAGTAGAAGGCAGTTGCTGTGATGCCCGACAAACCTTCCTGATGCCTCGTTTTCCTGGGCGTCAAAGCCAGTTGCCTTAACATATTTCTGCCGCAGACGAGGAGCTCAATTAGAAAGAAAAGCTAGGAAACAGTCGACCCAAAGACAGTGTCGAAGTTGAGCAGGTGCTGGGCACTGGCCAGAGAGGCTGCTTTTCTTACAAAGAGGGAAGAGGTGGCCACACAAACAGTCAGGGTTGGCCCGGCAGTAGTTTGCTCAAGAAGCAGGAAGGTTAGGAATCCCAAACACAGGGTGAAGGCCTGCTTAGAGCACATCACAGGCATGGAGCTTTAGGTAAGGTATGGACCACAAGAGCCCTTACCTGCTCAGCATCTTCAGGGAGTCCATCCTTGTGATGTGTTTGGTTCCCTGCCTTGGCTGGTAAAATATGACTTTATTTGTTCAGAGAGCTCTATCAGGATGTTCAGGCCTGAGGCTGAAGGTTTTCTCCTCCCCTGTATTCTTGGAGAAAATGTTTCTTTGGGGGGGGGATTAAAGTAGTTAAAAGGGAGGATCTCCGAGTTTTCTGAAGTGCTCCTAGCCCTTAACCTAGTACATTGATTGGAACCTGGGTATCAGAGTAGGGTGAGCTGTAGGCAAGCAGAGATGGCAGGAGGCCAGGAACCAAGAGCAGGCTCCAGATTTGCATATCATTTGCATGTGGATTTGCATGCTCACCTAGCCAGGCCAAGAGCCTAGTTCTGTGAGGAGCATCCTAATCCCAACTTCAGTAGGAGCTAAACAGTAGCTTCCTCCTTGTACAGAATAGGAATGGACGGGAATGGGAGACAAATGGCCTGGTAGCTTCCGTACAGTTTCCAGGTTTTAGGCCTACATGCACTTAGTGCTGGCAGAGCAAGCCCGGCAGCTTCCACCTTCTGTACCCAAGACAGGTAGTGACACTGGGCAATTAGGATGGAATGGCTAACAACGGACAGAGGTAGCCCGAGGCAGAGGAAAAATGGGGTGTGGGTCATTCCTCTGGTGCCTCAGGATTCCAGTTATTGGAGCATAGGGACAACATTAGCCTTCTGGGAATGGAACACATGAAAGGAGGGAGTTGGGTGCTTCGGGTTGTGGTCAGGAGTGAGGAACATTTGGGGGATGAGATGGGGGTATTACATGAGGAACAATGCTCTCTCATCCTCTGGTCAGTCAGTATCCAACTTTGGGAAAGGTGGTGTCCTCTGGGGAATGAAGCCAGAGCCTGCTATTTCTTCTATCATGATAAAGGCTGTTTGAACGTGCAGATGGTTCCACTGGGGGCAGTGAGAAGGCAGGTGGACTGTGTAAAGTTTGGAGTAATGTTCGAAGGGCAGGCACATAGGAGAGTTGCGTGATTACTCGTGGGCAGCAGCTGGGACATCCGTGATGGGAGCATGGCCGAGGGACGGCCTTGTCTGTTTTTTTTTCTGGGACTCTAGGCAAGACTCACCCTGGCAAGTGCATCTCTGAGGCCTTCTGGAATGTGCTGCGCACTTGCTGGTCCGGAAGGATCCTGGCCTACAGAGCCCAGAGAGTGTGTGCTCCATCTGGTGCTGTGTGGAGCTCTGAGGGGTTAAATGGGGATATTGGGGGATGGGTGGAATTAGGACCGAGCTTTGCCCTTCCCCATCCAATTCCTTTAACTAGTGTTTTTGTCTGTTTCATATATTGGTGTGTGTGCACGTGTCAGGGGAAGACTGGCCTGGCTTCTATGGTGGAAATCTGGATCCAAATCAAGCCCTTTGTGCACATCCTAGCTCTGCGTTTACCAGGCGTGGGACTTGGGGAGGGGGGTAGAGGATCTCTGAGCCTCCTTTCCTCTATCTGTGCAGTGAGACTAAGGAAGAAAAAGCACTACCGTAGCCAGAACAGAACTGGTGCTCAATAAACATTAGGCCCCTTCTGCTTCCTACACTGCCCCCGCCTT